CAGACAGACAGAGACAGACAGACAGAGACAGACAGACAGAGACAGACAGAGACAGACAGAGAGACAGACAGAGACAGACAGAGAGACAAAACAGAGAGACAGAGAGATGGAAGGGCAGAAGGCGCACACACCGTTGACGAAACGCTTGGTCATTTGCCTCAGTCAGCCCATGTGCACTTGCGTTCATCTGAAGAAGAGTAGGGCGAGACGAGGGTGAGATGGGATGGAATGACATGAATCGGAGGGGAGTCACGTCCAGCAGTGGCGGAAGTCAGTCACACACACACACACACACACACACACACACACACACACACACACACACACACACACACACACACACACACACACACACACACACACACACACACATGAGACTTACCAGACACAGTACGGCGCTTGGTGCACGTCGCTGAGCACAAACAAAGCGTGTGGTGGACACGGTGATGCGGTGTCGATGTGTTTGAAATGTTCTCCTGTGAGGGCATCGCCAAGAGTGCGTGGAGCAGCAGCCACAACAGCAGCAGCAGCCGCCGCGGCCATCAAGACCTTGAAGCGGAGAAACGACAGACGTCTGCTCTCGTCCCACATTGTGCTCCGGCGCACTCAGGTATGCTCATGTGTGCTCGAGTGCTGCCGTGCTGGCGCTGTTCGATGTTGTTGCTTAGCTTGCTTGCTTGAGTGCTTGTTTTTTGCTTGCTTGTCGCTCATTGTGACCCTTCATTCCTTGCTAGATTTGTGATGTTGTCGTCATTGATGTGGGAGGACAGCAGACGCTGATGTGGTGGGCATGTTGGAGGGCAGTCATGGTTGAAGGTAACTTGGCACTGTGGTGGTGTGGTAGGTAGGCAGGCGCACATGACAACAAGGGCGCTTGCTCCAACCTTTCACACACACACACACCTACACACACACACGGACACACACACACACGGACACACACACACACACACACACACACATTCAAAGAAAGCTCGTTGGTCGGCTGCCTTGTCCAAAGGAACCCTGCGCACGCCTTGCGCGAGCGTGGTCATAAGAAGGTGGCTGGTCAACAGGCTTGGCATTCCACAGGCATGTCTTGTAGTCCAGCACATCCAGTGCCCTCACCGCCATGCTGCGATCCGGCTGTGACTCCGCCATCATGCCTTCCAACAGCAACCGCTCATCCCCAGGCTCGTGTCTGCTGCCCCGAAAGCTTGAAGTCCACGCCCGTGTGTCCGGATAGTCGTACTCCAGGTCGTCGTCTTCATCATCACCATCATCGCCGCCTGTTTCGCCATCGCCCCCGCGCAGATCAGCGTCCTCCTGCACATACCCATAATCATCGTCATACTCCTGCCCACGCCCGTCACCACCCTCCCAATGCTGATGCCTCACGCCGCTACTAGCGTCGTTGCGGTCGCCCGGCCTGTCGCTGCTGCGGACAGCACCCCGGTGTGATTGGCCGACGTGCACACGTCCGCCGTCCTCGGAGGCGGCGGAGGATGACACCGACACGTCGCAACCCGCAGTCAGCACCTCCCCAAGTTCACCATCCTCTCGCTCGACCAACACCGCACCTCTGTTCGTGTATGCATCTGGCTCCCCACGGTTGCCGTTGTTGTTGTTGTTGTTGTTGTTGTTGTTGTTGTTGTTGCTGCTGACATGCTGCTGGCCGCGGTCGCCCTCGTCCTCGCCCTCGCCTTCGTTGCCAACGAACCTGCCTGGCCCAACATAGTCGCCCAGTGGCCGCCACTTCCCATCCTCCTCCAGGGCATCCGATGTCTCCCACATGCTTCCTGTGTGCTGGGACACTGTTGTGGCGCACTGGTGTGAGCTGCTGGCGTCCCACTCATCGCCGGTCGAGTCTGTTACACTTGCGCCCATGCCCAGCCCAAACGAGTTGAGTAGGCGAAGGCGCTCGTCGTAGTCAAACAGGCTGTGGTGGCTGGACTCGGGCGCAGGGCTGAACACAAAGTCGATGCTCTCGCCACCACTCTCTCCTTGCTGAGCACCCCTTCTCCGATCACCCATGTCATCGTGGCTGCCACCGCCTTTGTCATCTCCAGGGGCTCGCCCTCGGCTGCGACTGCGACTGTGGCTGCAACCACTCATCAACGCGTCACCACGCCGACTGCTGCTCTTGCCATCACCATCACCGTCGCCATGCCCACCATCACCACCCTCCTTCGCTTCGTTCTCGTCGCTAGTCACAGTCGATGCGGATGACGATGTGGCTGACGATGAAGGTGACTGCCACGCATCCTGACCGTCGAGGGCCTGCTGCACCTCCATCAGTGCCACCAAGTCGCGCTGCATAGCGTCGTGGTCGTAGTCATACGCATGCTGCAGCAGCGGGTCTTGGGGCCCCAGGCTGCTCAGGTTGGCCGACAGCACGCTATTGCGCTGTGCGTCGCCTTGATCTCCATTTGCTTCGTCTTCCAAACTCGCACCACTCGTACCACTCGCTCTGCGACTGCTGCTGTTGCTGTTGTTGCTGTTGTTGTTGCTGTTGATGGTGGAAGGATTGGCCGTATCCGTATGGGGCCTGCCAGTTTTCCCGTCAACAGTCGAGCCGCCATCTGCCCTCTCGCTGCCGCCTGCCGGCTGGCTGCCGGTATCAGCGGACGAGGTGTTGGCGGTGTGGGGTGCTGTTGCCCTGCCGAGTAAGTGCGTCATTGTGCCGATGGTGGTGATGGACACGGCCGAGCAACTCATGTCCTCGGAGTGCTGCAGCTGTGAGCATCGCTGCAGGTGGCTGTGGCTTGGCGTTGCATCCGCTGCACTACGATCTGCAGTGCGACCACGTCCGCTCGCTTGCTGGTACTCTTCCTGGCTGTGCTGACTGCCGGCGGTCGTGCGTTGGCTGGAGACCATCGACGCCTGTGTCTCGTATGCCGGTGCCTTGGGTGCCGTGCTCGCAAGACTGGCCGTGCTCCGCCGCCCTGCTGCTGCCTGGCGTGCATGCGAATGCGTAGCTGGGACACGGGTCGCTGTGGACACACGGCCTGCTGCTGCTGTTGATGCTGCTGTTGGTGCTGAGGGGGTGGAGGTCATCACAGAGCGCAGAGGGTGCTGCGAGTCTAAGCGTGTGCGGGCATTACTGGCAGTGACCACGTGGCCCTGGATCTCGGCTTGCACGGCGCTGTCCGAGACGGCATTTCGGGGACCGCCAGCAAACCAGCTGTTGATGCGGCGCGTCATGACGTCCTGCCGCATCTGCGCGAAGAGTCGCGGGTTCATGTTGCGCATGAGGGCAGGCATGTCCATGCCGTAGCGAAGCCTGAGGTCACCCGCACCGTGAGAGGCCACCCCAATCCACTCGCCATCCTCCCTCACGTGGGTTTGCATGTGCATCTGGCTGCCGCGCGCCCGAGCCGCTGCGACGTTGCTGTCACTGTTCGCAGTACCGATGCCTGCAGCGGAGTGCCGGGGATACCTGGGTGGTGCCCCAATGCCGCCCCACGAGTTGCGGAGGTTGGGCAGCCCGGCATATGTGAAGCGGTACTCGGCTGGATGGGTGGGAACAGGCAGTCCACCAGCACCACCGGCACCACCGATGTGATGGTGCCACACGGGGAGGGAGGCCCGCCAGTTGTGCACCTCCTCCGCTGGTGTGCGTGCTGCGGCCAGCAGAATCTCCAGCGGGGATATGGAAGACAGGCCGCCGCCGCGGTGCAGGCTGCGTCGGTTCCAGGCTGCCGCTGCCGCTGCTGCAGACCTCATGGACGTGGACGACAATGGGCGCGGGTGCTGGTGATAGCGGCGGTGCGAGCCGCTGTTCCTGTTTCCGTTGGAGTTGGTGGAGGAGAGTGGGCGCTTGAAGCGCCTGCTTTTGCTGCTGCTGCCGCCGCCGCTGCTGAACTGGATGAGATCATCTCCATCGTCATCGATCCACCCTGCCTCGTCCTCTTCCACAAAGTCAAACGCGGGAGGCTCTTCCACCCGCACCTCGCCGCCCATGTGTGGGAAGTTGGTGCATTGGTAGTACAGCGTGGATGGTGCATCAAAGGGCACATGGAAGATGATCACGTCGCGGCCAACACCAGGCGCACCCGTCACGCCACGCACCCACGCAGCGTCGGCGCTGGTTCCGCCGTTCTGCGGCACCCCACCATGCGCCGACAGCGAGATGTGAAAGGGGTATTGCTGTGGCACGCCATCCAAGTGGAACTCGTACGTGTGCCCTCGTTCGAGATGGATCGCCTTCCCGGGCTCGTGTTTGCGCATGCCTTTCGTGCGCAGTGCAAAGCGAACCTTGGTAGCTGTACGCGGCTTGGCAAAGTCAGTGGCCCTGATACTGGTGCGGGTGGTGCTGGTGGCGGTGTCAGCGTTGCTGTCGTGGTTGCTGTTGGTGCTGCCGAACCACTTAGAGTGTGCTCTGCCGAATATGCTGGGCTTGTTGCGACTCACGTTGCGTCGGCTCGACCTTGCGCCAACCACGGCATCGCGGCGAAAGCTGTTCACAGCGGCGGCGGCTGTCGACGATGTGGTCGGCGCTTGTACGGTGTCGGGGCCAGCCGTGGGATCGCTGCCGTTGCCGCTTTCGACAGAGGAGCCTTTGGTAGTCGTGGTGGCGGCGGTGGTGGTGTCATCGACTGTCACGACCTTGACGTGGATGACGTTGGAAGGGATGTTGTACCCGAAACACCACCAAACGAAGCCTGCCGCAACACCAAGCACAACAACCATCACACACGGCACCAGCCATGCTGCCACAGCTGGCGACGAAGCTGATGACGATGAGGATGGCGGTGGCAATGGCGATGAAGGCGATGATGGGGGCAGTTGTTGTTCGCTGTCGTTCCTGATGCTGTTGTCGCTGTGTGTTGTCGATGCTGATGCTGGGGTGGAGACTGGTGTTGAAGGGTCTGCGGCACAAGGTGCGGGCACGAACGCCGACGTCGCCACCAGGAGTACCAGCAGCAGTAACAGCGGCCGCATACTTGTTGCTGCTGATGCCCTTGGCGTACACACACTTTCATCTGCTCGTCGCTGCGGTTGCTTCATCACCGGCTCGAGCGGGCCCAGCGCTGTGAAGGTGAAAACGGGTGAGGGTTGGTGGGACAAAGTCGAGGCAGATGTTGTTGTTGTTGTTGTTGTTGTTGTTGTGTGTTTGCGTGCGTACGTGTGCGTGTGCGTGCGTACGTGTGCGTGTGTGTGTTGTGTTGATTCGGGGAGGTGCGTGATAGGGGGTGTCATGTAAGGGTGTTTGTGTTGTGGTTGAGTTCCATTGTCGAAAATTCACCAAAGATGGCGCGGACACAGTGAGCGGACAGCATGATGACAGTCAGATCAGCAACTCAGCAGCTCGAACAACAGAAGCAGCAGCAGCCACGACTAGCACACAAAGCGCAATTGGGTGGGGTGTGCGACAGGCAGACTGCATGCCATGCCTGGCACGGCAAGCACGGCAGCAACGCTCCTGGGCTTTTGTCTTCTTGTGGCGAACAAGAGGAGAGGAGCATGTATGTACATAGTGTACACAGGTACACGCGCCCCAAGCAAAGGTCCTCCATGCCTCACCCAAGCAACAGTGGATGGTTGGTGCACGTGAGGTGGCAGCTTCTTGGCTGCTTGTGTTTCAGTCCGCAACAACAGCAAGTGACTGGCGAACCGCTTCTTTGGCCTCCTGACGACCAAAACTCCCCTGAAGTGGCGAATGCTGACACCAAAACGTGTGGCGAAGCCGTGTTTCGAAACCCGCCTGACATCCGATTTTCGGTGGTTTGTGCTTTGGAGCTGACCACTCGTCCTTCCTTCCCACCAGCGCATGCCCATGCTTCATGGGTTGTTGTTGTCCTTCCCCTCTGCCATGTGTCGCGCATCGAAATGCGCCCTGACGGCCGGACGGGCGGGCTTGTTTTGGGTGGCGGGCGAGAAGATTCTGTTCCCTCACCCAACCAACCAGCCAACCAACCAACCAACAACCAACCAACTGTTGTCCTGACCTGACTACAATTCACAAACCCAACTCGACCCTCACTCCATATGCGTGTCGGTTGCATCGCGGCCAGTTGTTGTTGTTTGGCGTTGCCACTTTACAGCCTTGCTTGCTCGACCGTTGGTGCTGCCTTCTGGTGCAACCTCTGACTGACCTGCTTGGAGACGAAATTTCAACACGCACGCCGACCCAGCGACAGCACAGCAGCCAACCGAAAGGCAAGCAAACGCCAGCGAGCACAAGGCTACAGTTGTTGCGACACATCTCCTGCCATTCACCCATTCATCCAGCCATCCATTCATCCACAGCAACAAGGACGATCGTCAACACCAACGGATGTCAGCGAGTGCCGCCCCGTGAACCCTTGTTCTCTTCTCAACCACAAGCCACACCACGCCACAGCGGCAGCAGCGAACCGATTCAGCTCAGCTGCACAAGGCAGATTTAACAACGCACCAAGCCAACAACAGCAGCCCGTTGCTTTGTCGACAACCGCGGCAATGACAATGGCGGGCGCAATCCGACGACACCGCTTTCAGCGGCACAGGGCAGCAGTCCTGTTCACCCTCGTGAGCGTGCTCGGCCTTCTCCACAACACACCCTCGGCAAGTGCCTGGCTCAACTCCCTGGACGGTGCCCTGACCTTCTCCTGCAGTGCTGGCCAGGGAATCAGCACGATGAAGTCGTACCACACCAACGACAAGGAGGATCGTCAGTGGGACTTTGGCTGTTCACCCGTCTCCACTGGTGATGCAGGCAGTGGTACCTGGTCTGGATACGTCAACTCGTACGACGGCGACATCGACTACACCTGCGGCTCAAACCAATGTGAGTGTTTCATTATGTGCGTGCGTGTGCGTGTGTGCATGCGTGTGTGTGCGTGCGTGTGCGTGTGTGCATGCGCGTGTGTGTGTGTGCGCGTGTGCGCGTGTGCATGCATGTGAGTGAGTGGAAGAGCGAGCGTGTGCGGTTTGAGCGTCAATGCACCCTCATCAAGACTTGCTCTGCGGCTGGGGTTGTTCTTCACCAGACATCACTGGGCTGTCCAGCGAACACAGCAACTCAAACGAAGATAGAATCTGGAAGGTCAAGTGCGCGAGCGTGAACAACGCCAAACTGATTGCTTGTCGCACGCACGCCGGGTACATCAATGACTACGACGACTCCATGAACTACGAGAGTGGCGATCGCATTCTCGTGGGAATCTTCGCCACGCACGACAATAGCAAGGAGGATCGACGCTTCAAGCCAAAGACTTGCCAGGTGCGCGTTGGTGACGTGTGTCGCTCTGCATTGTGTGGTCTGCTTTCGTGTTCTGTTTCATTGTGCTCATGTGCGTTTGTTCCTTGACATGGCATTGCTTTGCATTCTGCTGTCACCTTTCCCGCACTCTGTTGTGTTGTTGTGCGTGCCACTTACGGGCCACAATTGCATTATCACATATGATGATGACAGGTGGAGTGCAACCGGGATACCGGCTACCGCCTCAAGGACGGCCGCGAGTGTGAACGTACGCTCAACCGTCGCTCTCTCCGCGTGCATGCGTGTGTGCGTGTGTGTGTGTGTGCGTGTGTGTGTGTGCGTGTGTGTGTGTGTGCGTGTGTGTGTGTGTATGTGTGTGTGTGTGCGCGTGTGTGTGTGTGTATGTGTTTGTGTGTGTGTGCGTGCGTGTGTGCGCGCGTGTGTGTGTGT